AAGGAAACCTTCAGCAGTCCTATCATCGTGCAATATCTGGTGCTTAACACAAGCAAAGTTACAGGACTTTATTCAGTTACCCAGCACCAATGACGTTTCAAGGAATACTGGTAAATCTGCTAAACAGCGTTGTGCAGAGCCATAGTTCAGGGTTCACTAAAGGTATGATTTTATAATCTGTATTTTTTCTTAAACCGCCTCAGAATTTCCTTTCACACAAGAATAAAAGCATCAGCCTTAGTATGGGGCCTTAGTATCAGCTTTAGTTTGGGGCAAAAGCGACTGTGCAGGGGGGCCAGAAGCTTTCCTCGAGATTCACGTGGCACTCTAGGAGCAGAGGTTTGGCAGCAGCCTAGAGGTAGGGTAGATGGTCCGCATAGCAAGGATCAGGCTGGCCGGTGAAAAGAAGGCACAGAATCATTTGTCTGAAGATTATGCTTAATTTTGAATTTTCATGCAATCGTTACCTTGCTGTCTCCTCCATCCACTCTATTAAAAAAATCACCTTTACATTGAAATGAAAAACAGAGAGAGAGAAAGAAATCAAGGCTCTGAAATGTTTTGCATTAAAAGCTATCACAAGAAATCATTTCTACATGAAAGCTAGACTATTATGATGACATCCTCCAGTGTCCCTATCATTTTTCAGGGACATAGATTTCTGTCAAATTCTTTTATTCTATTTCTTACCAGACAACTGCCCCTTCTCCTTTCTGGCAATGATCTGTCTGACTAGCTCCTTGCAAAAGGAAGCAGATACCCAAGAAATTTAGATCAGTCCTACAGTTACGGTGCTAACAGAGATTTACAAGTGGGCTGTGCACCGTCCTGCCGCCCACCTTCGGCCTAATCTCTCTTGAGGTTTAAGAGGTGTTTTGCTACTCGCTGTCCTGGCAGAAAACATTTCTGCAAAATTTTTGCAGTAAGGTCTCAGCGTATGTACTTCAAGCTTTTTTGATGAAGTGACATCTCCTGCTAGGGTGCTAGTCTAGAGCGACATGGAGAGCGGCTGCTGCCAGCTCTCCACATTCTCCAATTTTGTTACCTGTCCGCATCAGTGGGTTATTTTCAGTAAGCAATGTTGTTTTTTTTTTAATTATGCTACTAATGCAGTCTTGTGAGGACAAAGCAGGCAAAATATTTAGTGCCAGTTTTATTTCACTTGCAGTTGCCACAGAAAATTAACAGTGCCTTTTTTTTTTTTTAATGGGCTCCCTCTGCCGAAGACATAGCTTTTTACGGCAGTGACCTCATGAGCACCAGGCGACCGGTTGCTGCCCCAGCAAGGCCAGTCTCCTTGAGCAGAAGCAGCAGCATGTTGTGGCACATCTGCTGCAGCAATAAGAGCGAAACCCAGCCCGTTTCACGCTGCCGAGCACGTTCCCCGAGGACGACGCTGGTGCAACTTCTGTTAGAAACGGGTGCTGCCCCCTCTAACATGTCATCTGAGCCTGCTGCAGGACGAGCGAGGACCCTCTGGTGGGGTCTAACCACACGTGGTGTGAACACCTTCGTACCAACGCAGCCGCCACCGCTCTTTGGGCCCTGACCTTTACGCTGCTGCCTGATGGGATAGAAATACCTCTAGTCTCTAAGTTCATGTCCTCCAAAGTCCAGAAACGCGGCACAGTCTGCTGCTGCCTTAGAGACCTGTGCTACTCTGCCTGACCCCCAAAGCGGGATGGGCAGACAGTTATCTAGTTTTTGAGGGCAGTAATGTTCAGTGTTAATTGATGCTGGGGTTAATGGGCTGGGCTTAGCGCCCACTGCTTAACTCCACTCGGGGGAAAAATCCAGAAAGCAGGATGCAAGCCAGTGTCCAGCTGCACTGCACTGGCAATCACACGCCAGAGACTAATTTCTAAAGCAACCGAATGCAAAGACTGCAGGCGAGAGAAACGAGAGAGCGCAGCTCCCACAGGACAGGAAGAGACCTCCGAAATCATTGCTGGGGCCCTGAGGGCACCCCCAGCACCCCCGTCCCTGCCGCTGCCTCCCCCCTGGGCCCACCTCCCATCTCAGCCCAGTTTGGGGCCACCCGTCCCAGCACCGCGATGCCGCGGTGATGCCTGCTGCCAAAATACATTGATACAGTGCATAAGGGAAAAAATCAAGTTAGACTGCCAGGGAGTTTAACAACGCAAGCAATGAAAGAGGAAACAAACCGCTCACTGTAACGGGGAATTATTGAGCTATGCAGCACTGGGTAGACACCTGTTTGGGACTGTGAAGATGAGTCACACAGTGCATTTAAACTGCAAAAGTGAGCCTTCAGATTTCATTCTCACAAGAACGAGATATGCATGTTCTGGGGACAAAGAAAGCAAGCTGCAAACTGTTTCTTCACGTGCTTTCTTACTTATACTGCAGGCATTAGATCACAAAGATTACAGAATTTGTGCAGAAGCGTTTTTGTATGCCCACCCATTTAGACCTAGAAAACTTCTACGCAGCCATTTGTCCAACATTCCATTAACGCGCAAATCTTTCAGGCTTCGAGTCATCTCCAAAGAGGAGGTCTTTGTGCGCAGGATGCCTTGGTAAAGAGTTCACCTTGGTGGTCCACTAGATGAGCCAAATAATTCAGCGCGTAACAGGAGCAGCCTGATTTTCTTGCCGTGTTGGTGATGCTCTCTGTTTGACAAGAAGAGGAATAACAGTTGTAGCCTAGGCTTAACTGTTTTTTAATCCAGGCAGCGTCATTGTGCTGTGTTGCATTTGAGTGCTCACAAAAGTGTTAGCTCTCTGGAGGCCAAGGTGTTTCCTTAAGACACCAAACTAAAAGTCAGAACTTCGGTGACAGAAAGATTTGCAGACACAGAGCCTGAGTCATGTAAACTTGCTTTGGCCTCAATAAAGCAGTGTCTACGTTCAGCCGGCAGAGGAAACAGCCCTTTTAATTCAAGTCAAAGGTGAGGATTAATTGAGTCAGGAATCACACTGTAAAGATGCTATAGCAAACCCAGAATTTCTTAGTAGAAAGGGTGGGGTGAGTTTTAATAATACAAGAGGGCATGGCAAGGGTGCTCTTCCAGACAGATCTCTCTGTTTAGGGACACTGCGGGTCCCTAAGAGGCCTCTACAGAAATTTTATTTTTATTCCCTAAGGAATTAAAGTGTATGTATGTTCAGCACAGAGTCCGTGCTGCTTCTAGAATCAATCTGCAGCAAAGACCATGCCCAGAGAGGGACAGCATAGTACTGACATACGTAATTACTCTACTGAAAGGATACCGAAGGCCTAAAAAGCTCTTGCCATGAAAATACACTGTCCACCAGTCAGTAGAATCTACTATTTGATCTCTTCTGGAAGACTAACTTTGTAAAAAGCTCAACAACAGCTACATTTTTCTGCTAGGCAGGCTGGTCCAGCTCAAAGAGAGCTGCAAATACTGACGTGTTTGTTCTGTACAGGAATAAGTGCTTTTAGGTCCACAGAAACTGCTATATAAAGATCCCCAACATTTCTAAAAAATCTGCACCTATTCTGCTATTTATATAGTTCTAATACTGTATGTGGAGCTGAAAAATATGTGTGCAAAGCCTGCTTTGATTTCTTTCTGGAAGATTATTTGACCTTTCCCAATTGCACTTCCAAAGAGAAGGCCAAATTTTGAAGAGAACTCAGATTTGGATAACAGAGTAACCTGACTGGACTGTCAGAAAATATGTCACTACGCTGCTGGCAGGGGAAAGGATCCAATCCTGCACAGGGTAATTTGATGCAAAATTTGACGCGGGGGAGATGCAGAAAACTTCTAATAAACTTTTTGGTCTTTTAGATGTAGATATAATAACATAGAACCTAGACTGTAGAGCAATCATTCTTTCTTATCCTTTTGCATCTCTATTAGTGATGCCACTCTCCATTACAGTTAAAATTAAGGCTCAAATTAGATGTGCCCATTAAAAAATAGAAGAGTGACTTTTGGGTACAGGAATTATTAACAATCTTGGGCTGTCTTGGTGCTAGGCTTTCTGACTGTGACAGTAGGGGCACTTCTGGAATAACAGGTACAAGACGCAGTATTTTGCAAAGGGAAAGATGAAAAAACATACTAGAGGATGTGCATACAGGACTGCCAGAGAATTTAAAACCCTCTTGGGGAATGGCATTGCATGAGACACCATTACAGTGGGGCATGAAGGGAAAGAAGAAAGGAAGAAGGAAGCAAGCTCCCCATGGGCACCAAGTCACATGAGAAGACATGATGCTTATCTTTCCCCAAAGAAATCTGCCTCACAACAGGGCCCTTTTAAGCGTACCACTATGCTTTAAGCGTAATACCACTGTGTGTCTCCTGCTTTGATGCCCTTCACACCTAACAGAAATAACCTGCAGAAAAGGCTGAGGTAGAGAAGTATGAGGTGTCAATCAAATGACCACATCTTATGCTTTGAGCAGGAGTTACACTGATTTTTTGTACGCCGTCAACTCATCCTAAACAACTGCAAAACTGTCAGGAAAAATTAAGCTGTTCAGTGTGACTGTCATCCACTCAGGACAAAAACCTGGCTCAGCAGAAGGACTCCATACGCTGCCTTATGACAACAGAATGGAACAAAGCTCTGCCCCACAGCGCAGCCCTGAAAGGCTTTGAGCTTGGCATCTGAAACTGCAGAGCGCTCGTTTTGTTGTCTCTGGGTAAGATTTTAATCCATGGAGCAAAAGCTGGACATTGCTCTTTTTTATTCTGGCCGTTCACAATTGCAATGCTTGAAAAGAAAACACGTCCTCCCCCTTCCCTGTGCTCCTCCGAACTGCTGACAGGCCCAGGAAAGGCAGCGCCAAGGCGGGGCTATCGGGTTTTATTTAGTTCAGTGCAGCAGATGATGCGTTTAGTGCCACAAACCGCCCCAGAGTCAAGTCCTAATCACCTGGGGGCTGATTATGTTCTTTTCTTCCTCCCCAAGCCCCCCAAATATATTTCTGACCCAAATTGGAGAGACAAGCACGTGCACAAGAGGGGACCACAGGATCCCACAGCCTCCCCGAAGCCATGTACAGAAGCAGTTTCCTTCGCGAAGTGCGCAAGGAGAAATACGAGCGGTCAGATGCCTATGATGAGCTGCGAGGAACCCCCGAATTTGATAGCTTGGCCCAGGCCCAGGGCCTGGAGAACCTGCAGGAGCTCAACGAGCGGTTTGCCAGCTACATCAACCGGGCCCGCGTGCTCGAGCAGCGCAACACCATCCTACGGAAGCAGCTGGAGACTTTTCAGCGCATGGATGAGCTAGTGGGCTTGGATGAGGCCTTTGCTGGGCAGATTGAGTTCAACCGTCAGCGTATGCGGGAGCTGTCGTCCGACCGAGCCAAACTGGAGCGCGAGGAGAAGGACGCCCAGCGCATGCTTGATGAGTACAGCAACAAGTAAGGCAACTGGCGCTGCGGGGCCAGCTTATCTCCTACGGTAGCTAGCACATCAGAGGTGCCTACTTCATACAGGCTCCTCCTGCCAGCCTCTTGGTCCAGCTGGATGCATCTCTGGGGGAGGACAGAGAGGTATTCCTAAACAGCTGTTGCTTTCAAATTCTGGCAGGATAGGAGCCCTTGCCCAGCTATCCAAGGAAAACGTGGCTGATAGCAGTATGCATTCAGTTATGGGTGAGTTAAAGGGAAGTAAAAGCAGGGTATGTCAAGCAAATGATGCACAACTGCTTTCTTGAAATCCCTGTGCTTGAAAGCCTGCAGATCCTTCAGTGGGAGCCAGGGCAGCCATCTGGGAAAGGAAGTGGCTCCAGACTGTAACAGTTCATTATCTTTTCCAAGGCAAGTGAACAAAGAGTATGCGGTATTGTTTCCGCAGCTCTCTTTCTTTGTCATACATATGGGTTTACTAGCTAGCTGCTTCTCTTGCATGGATGGCGGCTCTCCATGTTCAGACTTGTAGCCCACAGCCAGATTGTGTAAGACCATGGTGAAAAGTGATGTGCCAGGACTTAGGGAGTTCCAGTTCTGCATTTCATGAACTCCCTGCTACAAGAGTGGCCAATTTCCTGTTCCTGTCTGCTGCAGCAGGCTCTCTAGGACACACATGTAGTTGCTGTTACTCATTAGCTTTAGGAGGATTGTGCTCTGAGCTGCAAAAAGGAAAGAACCTGATTAGGAAACAAACATGGTTTGAAGTGAGGCTCATATCTGAGCAGCACACAGTTGTAAAAGCCCAGACCCTCTCCTAGAACATGTAGGAGGACATCTCTGAGAAGCTCTTACTTAGAAGAGCTGTAAGATACCTGGGCCAGTCTGTCTATATGGATGTTTATGTTCACTGCAGATATTGGATGGAAGAAGATAAATAAACTTTTTCTTGATATTGGAAGATGATTTACCCTCGTTGTCACCTCTTCTGGCCTGCATCTCTTTATTTCTTTCTCATGCATGCTACTAAAGCAATACCTCTAGGAAGAGATTTCCCCTGATTTCATCTCTCTTTAACTTCATTGGCAGCATAAATCAAAGAGCAGGGACCTTAGGGCTTGGAACATGTGAGTGCATCCAGAGACATGCCGTCCGTCCTCTTCAGCAACAGCTAGTTCTTGCTGCCATCGCTTCACATCAAGTCAAAAATGATAGGGTCAATAGCTCTTCTGGTTCTGGCAGTGTTGCTTAATTACACAAGACTTGCTGAGCGTTGCTCATAAAAGGATGGCTAGGGGTGGCTGCTCACAGGAGGGAAACGTCTTGTCTATGTGTTTCTTATGGGCCAGATATTTTCTTTCCAAACTTCTATCTCATTAGTCAAGCCAGAAAGGCTAATGGAAACTGAAGAGTTTTTCATCCTTCACATTGATGGATGAGGGGTGAACTCCATATAATGTGCTATAGCTTAGACCCATTTCTCACTGACAGTGATGGGAAGCAGAAAATTCAAATACTTTCAAGAAACATAGTCTTGATGGAAGTTCAGCCACTCACAGGCAATCCTCACTACACTCGCTGGAAACATTTTTAATAGGGCAGAAGGTGAATCATCTGGAACTCTGTCTTACTGCTGCCGAAATATAAGTCACTCAAAATTTCGGCCCTTGTCTCGATCACAGACTTATAAGCCATATTGCATGACTTTTTGTCTGCTTCACCACTGACTTTTCCTCTACTCTGAACTAGTAAATGCAAGACAGATAACATTTTCCTTTTCTGTCTCCGATCCTTTTGCTGGAAATAGCCATAAAAAAAAGATGTGAGATAATTGGCATCAAGGCCATCTGTGTCTTTAGGCCATAGTTTGATGATACATTGGTATCAGCAGCCATATAGTCTTAAAATATCCTCATCCTGTCCTCCCAAGCCTACACACTTCTCAGCTGCACACCGCCTGCTCCGCTGTGCTGTCACAACTATTCATGGGACCACCATGAGATTTGAATCAGAAGAATGAGCCAGCTAAAAAAAATAAAGTAAAAAATAGTATCTCGAATCCAGTTCACCAGACTGCCACACGAACAGCCCATGAGAGCTCTGAGCTATGGCCCAGATATAGAAATACCAAACTCTGATCTCTGTTTTTCATTTGAAAGTAGGGAATAGCACTTCCAGGTGCAATGAGACTTAGTGCTTGAAATACTCAGATGTTAGTGATTACCTAACTCACTGTTAGCGAGCAATAACCTGATGATACAGTTTTTTATTCAAATGATTACGAGCACGAAGTTCAGCTATGCACCAGTGCTATAATTTATCTGTCTACTCTGATACTTATTCATTTATTTTTATTACACAGTGTCCATAAGATTTTGACTGAATTCAGCACATGAATGTATAGCTGCATATTCATTGAAAATATGTCCATATATCAAACTGTACAAAAGTATGCAGTGGTATTATGTATCTGAGTAAAAATGCGTTATCTGTTCTGGAGTACTTTGAGGGGGAGGGAGGAAAAAGCAATGCGGTGAAATACACAGCTCTCTCCCCAAGTTAAAATTGGATTTCTAGAGCTTGTCTGAAACTGACCTGAAAAAATTAGCAGTGACAACCTTTTAATGGATTCCTTTGTCTAACTGGGCGCTTTGTGGATTAACTGCCTGTGTAATTCTCCCATTAATAAGATTAACTCTCTGACATACACTCATTTACTTTTGTTACAGATGCTTTACGTGAGTTCTAAATAGGTAGGGAAAATATAGGACAGAGAAAATGTGGGGGAAAGACAGCCAGAGAAGGAGATATCTTTTTTCAAAGTGAGATTTATGACCTATTAGAGAGGTAATGAGTGACTTAGAAAAACTGGATTGTGTCTGGTCACGCAGACTGAACATGTGCCGCAAAAAATTGGAAGCCAAGTATGGAAGCAAAGTATCAGATCAAAAGAAATAATAATGTGTCCTTCTGAACATGTACTTCTCATTCTGGCTGGAAGAAACAGCTGTGCAATTGTCCCCTTAACCCAGTCTGGACAACATTTACTTGTTAACAATGCTCTTGTGATAAGCTCTTCAAAAAGTACATAACAGAGTTGCCGCAAATCACTGATTATACTTCTGATCCTGGGATGTACATTCAGCAGCACTAAGCAAAAGCGGAAAGTAAAAGGGAGCCTTGACTACCTCTAAGCCAACAAAAGTTAGAAGTTAAAAATTAAAGTTATCCAGGGAGATTATAATATAATAGCATTTTTAAACCAAATTTCATTCAGATTACATCACGGAGTGAATTTAGATTTTGTGTTTGTTTTTTTTTTTTTTTTCCTCCTGGGAATTGCCGAATTTGATCTGAAGACAGACGTGAAAATTTCCTCAGTTTGAAAAGAATCGAGTGGTTTCTGAGTTACAGGTGTTAAAACAAGGCCAATGCTCTGATATTCTCCCCTCTGCCTTCTCACCTGCTCCTAGCTCAAAGGCATTTTGATGTTTATGCTTTAAGTTATTTTAAATTATAAGTAAACTCTCTCAATAAAATATGGGAGAAATGATATTCCATGATGTTTTAGGGCCTTGCCATGCTACTGAAATCAGAGTTATTCCTATACTGAAGATCTGCTTAAGTCTCTGTGCAGCCTAACCCCCATGCAAAGGGGGAATGCAGGGATCACTAACTCTTTGGCTTTCTGCGTAGGTGTAAGTTCATCCACTAAAATGATATAGCTGGGTGATCATCCTAGACTGGAAATCTAGACGGGACTGTGAATATATGCACAATTCTTATTTATTTATTTATTTAAATAGTATTTTTAAGGCAGCTGCAAGTTTCAGTCTTTAGAAGGTCTCAACCCTGTACTGTTCTCTAGAAGTGGTGTCCTTCTGCAGCCGGACACTTCACAAACATGCTCTCAGTCTGGTCTCATCTAGAGTAAAAGTATAGTTGGGACCCTTTCAAATGTATCAGGGAACTATGAAACTGATAGTGACTATAATATCAGAACAGTCCTTTATTTCTAATGGGATAAAGTCTGCTGTGAGTTAAATTGAATCTATTATGTTACACAATCTGTGTAAAAACTCCTAAAAATGGCTCTGATGCAATTACATCTCCCAAATAAGATGTCCCTTCAGGTTCTTTGGTCCTTTTTTTTAAACAGAGAGAATAGGATTTTTTTTCTAAGTAATAGAAAATGTAAATATTTTGCACAGTCTATTTTTAAGATTTTAAATAGCAAATGTATATTGCCTTATGTGAAAATATGAAGTATTTCTTCCTTAAATGTGAGGTAAGAGAGTTTTGTTCATAAGAGCGCAGTTCTACAGCTGAGCTAAATAGACTAAGATTTCTGAAGTGCTACAGACCAGAAATTGTGGAAGAAACATACGATCACCACCTAGGCTAATCTATTAGGTAACGGATAAATGTAAATATATTCAAGTAGTGGGGACAGTAAAGTACACATGTGGCATATGTAACATGCATTAAAGTTCTTTGCTGAAGCTGTCTCTAAAACTAATCTTCCCACCTGGGCAATATGTTTTTTTCTATGCTGAAAAGCTCTCCATATTATTACGTGTAAGATAATGTCCAGAAAATCTGCCAGGGATCTCCCATCCAGCAAGCCCGGATGGGAGAAGACAAGAGTTAGGAAATATCAGAAAGATCCACAAACATCCAAAGTAACATTGTTTAAAAAACACCTGAATGGAACACACCGGAAGCCATTGAGGCATATCTCTATATGCGACGCATGGAAAGTTGTGCCAGAAAGGTTCCTGCAGCCCTTCTGTACCACAGAGGAAATCTAGACTCAGCGGCTCAAAAGACCAGCACAAACAAACCGTCCTGAGGCCCAAATGTTCAGATTTTAAGTTGGCATCTGAAACTTCTAAGTTCACTTGGAAGATCTGGGCCAACCACAAATGAGATGGTCACAGCACTCTCTGCAAAAATATGAGCTCATGAGGCCAGTTCTCACTAAGTGTTGGATGTGGGAGGCATAAAACACAGTCCAAATGCAGACAGGCACAACGGTGTGGCTGTTGTCAGAGAAGAGCTGCAGGTGGTGGAACGCTTTCTGCTTCAACGTGTGGAAGTGTAATAGGACCATAATTCTAAAACTGAGTGTCACCATAGAAAACTTTTTGATCTAAACCTTCTTGTTCTGAAGTTTAATTATTAAATGAATGTGTCTGCCTTAGTAGGAAGAAAGGTGTAGCAGGATAGTACCGCCCTATGTAACCTAGCTATCTGCTACACATCAGGAGTGGACAGAGATGATAAATGGATAAAGGAATCAAACCTGCCTGGTCATATGCAGGACTTTGAATGGACTTTGCTGTTTCCCTCGCACCCCAGCCCTATATTTACACCACTGTTAAGCAGATCAGCTCCATTAGGCTTTACTGTCCCAAGCCACGTCCTGTACTTGTAGTTTGCTCTAAAATTGCTTTCTACTACCTAGGTCTATGTTCAGTAGACAGCAGACAGAAGTCTCACTGCACTAGCAAGATGTGTGTTTCTTGATTAATTTTGAAATACAGAGTATCTGCTTCTTGCACACAAAGAATTAAAGGACTCTCTTAGAGTGGTGCATTGTATACCTACTAATTGGCAAATGTCTATACCTTCCACTAACGCAAAGAATTTCAGCTCTTGCATCCTATTCTTTTACGTATGTTCACAATTTGGGAAAAAGATTTACAATTTTAACTAGACCTTTTAAAGCTACATTTAAGCACAGTAGAACCTGGAACTACTGTGTCTGTAAAATTAAATATGCACGAACTCCTGGAAAGTGGGTCTTATGTTCAAATTTATTTTTAAGTCCTCTGTAGCCATTTTCGTGGCTCTTCACATTAACATAAATAATTCACACTATGTATCAGTGGAGATTTCTTTCTCTTGAAGTTACAAAAAGTATTACTAGGAATTGTTTGGATGCAGCTCATAAAAGGATTAATTATGCTAATTTTATTGAGCATCATTATTATAGCAACATTATATCTGTCTGTGGGAAATTTGAAAGGATTGTATTTCTCTCTCTCTGATATCCAGAAAGATGCTGAAACCTAGATTTTAGTGCCCTTGACTGAACAGGATTAATTAACTTCAGAAATTAAAAGTCCTACTAATCGATCATTTCATTTAAAATTCATTCAGTGCTAATCTTGTGGGGTTTGTATGTAATATAGTTCCCTGGAAGTTGCTAGATACAGAGACTGGAACTTGGTTCTCCAATCTGCACCTCTGTGGCTACGCTCAAATTAGCTTGGCACCCTTTTGTGCCACAGCAGTAACTACGTACCCATGAGCAGTAATGAGAACAAGCAAATACAATAGTTGCAATATGTGGAGTACTAAGGACTCCATAACCAGTAACCGTCTGGTTGACAGGTTTGGATGCCAGGCCTCTTCCTGGCCTAACACACGTGGTGCTATGGCCCATGACAAGCGCCCCAAAATACGTCCTGGAGCATCAAGCGTTGGGCAGCAGTGAGGGTGTGCAGACACGTGAAGGTGGAGGTGATCCAGAACAGCCTTAACCCAGTCTTGGTGCTACCATTACTTCTCTGACCGTACCAGCCAGGGGTGACACCTCCTCTGCTCCCAGGTCCGCACCATGGAGAATTTTGTCTTGGGTTTTGGCAAGTCAAAAGAATTCCTATGTTGCTAGAAGATTTTGCTAAGGTTCAATAAAGAGGTAGCATCCTCTTTATCGTAAAGGCACAGGCCTCGACACAGAATTGGACTGAGAATTGAATATCTGACCACTGAACATTGCTAGGATATATTGTGACTGTTTTCTCTTTGGAGGCAAGACAGTCTTTGCATTGCACCAGAGTCAGGGCCTTAGTCTTGTCTGGTTCACATCCTTCCAGAGCAAGCACAGTCTCTCTGTCAGCTGAAGTCAGCAAAATATATTCATAGGCATTACTGGAGGCTTTCCTTGCAGGCGGAGAAAAAGCCTGGCAGCCAACTTCCTTCCTGGGTCCCCAATGTTTCCATGAGGCTAGCACCCCTGCCTATACAGGGGGCTCGAGGCATTTGCCATATATCTGTAATCGTGTATGCGCTCCAGCAAAAAGCTTTTCTGTCAGAACCACCAACCTAGGAAGAGAAAAGTGAGGCAGTGTGAACCTTTAAAGCTCCGTTCTGCTTTGTTTAAAGCAGGCAGCCCCCTCCACTGCTCTAGTTTTTGCCTGTGCCAGAAACAATTAATACTGCTTTTCTGAAGCCAGTAATAAAAAAGCATCATCACACCTTAAAACTACTTGCCTAGGTCAGGGACACTTGGAAAAAAAAAAAAAGACAAATGAACCAAGATTACAGCCTTTAATGGATGTCCTACCCCTGTTCCATGCTAACAATGAAGATTTTGCCCATTTATTGTTAAATACTGAAGTTTAATGTGGCTACAATTTGTTCACTTTTGGAGGGACTGTGTCCAGGAAACCAGGGATCATGTTTAAGTACAATTCCCTGTGCATTTTTTGAAGCTGAGACACATTTTCATGTGTTGGGATATTTGGGCTGTGAGATAAAAGTAACAGCTGACAGAGAGAGAACAGAGTGGAGTTTGGACTTGCAGCGTTACTCCTTTGGGATACAAGTGGTTTGATGTGCTGTAAGGGTCTTTAACCTAAAAGTCCAGTGGAGCATTCAAAGTAATTAGCCATTGCACTTGTATACATTTCAGCTTGCATAGAGGCATGAATATCGCACCATGCGCTCTCTGAAGCATATCTGAAAAGTCCTTAGCCCTGTTACACTTACGGAGTGCATTGAACATCACTTAAAAACAATCTTCATTTAAAGGATAGTCACACGGCACTAACTATATCCACATCTCAAGGCTGCCAAGTGGATTTATGGCTTTGTTATTTGTTCTTTTTGTTATTTACTTTGTTATTTGGCTGTTATTTGGGTTATTGAGAGTGAAGGAAAAGTTTCTTAAAAATTTCAGTCAGTGACAGAAATTTCACTGAGGATCTAGCAACCAACCAGGTTTGAGCAGGCCTGAGTGACACTAGGGCTGAGAGCTAGACCCTGACTCTGTTGGATGGTTGTTTCTTACTAGGAATGTAGACCCAGTCTTTTACTGTAGATTTGATTTTCTTCAGCTGCCACTATCTGCTTCATTCTTGCCCATCTGCCAGAATGCATCTATGTTAATAAAGTGCTTACTGTCAACTGCACGTAAAAAATGCATAAGATACAAAATGTGTTGGAAGTCACCTACTTAACAAATCATAGGTACACATGCAGTCTCACTTCAGAAGCTGAATATCCTTGGTTGTATACTTGGAAGCAAACCCTACGTTACAACAATTTGATCAAAAGACATTGCTTTGGATCCTTAGAAGAGAACACTTCAGTCAAGGAAGCCCAAACAATCTGAGCACATCCAAGCTGTAAGTTGTCTGAAAACCACTGATTTACTCATCTGTAAATGGAGTCAGTGGCAAAGAGGTATAGCAGAGAATTATGTCTTCATGACACAGTCTTAAATACAAGGGAAGCTTGGCCATTGGAATATCTAAATGGAGCATGCAGGGCACGTGATGGGTAGCAGACTCCTCTTCAGCTTTTCTAGCTGTGTTGAAAGACGTAACAGTGGGAATAACAGTAGTTGTTCATTCTTCAGGCTATAATAATAAGAAAGAAGAGAGGGTAGCATGACTATTACAACTTGCTTCTTGACGTGTTCAGTCAATGAACTAGAAGAGTTTACCGTGGCTAGAGCAAGTTCCTCAAAAGCCACCAGAATATCTGGGCGGCATGAATGATTTCATAAGACAGACAAGGGCAAATTGCCTTTGTGGTAATGATTCAAAAAAATAAAAAAATCAATAGTTTGGAAGTTTGTCACTCTTCCTCTAAGAGGATTTCCTGGATAATTCTAACTAACATACAGGTACAGAACCCTAATTTTTAAAGACTGCATGTCATGATTTGTCATTTCAGAGACACAGGATACATCCACTATTCACTCAGTATAGAAATCTGCACGTTTCACGCTTCTTACGAACATTTTATGACTGCATAAGAATATTTGGTTAAATGCACTCTTCACTAAGGCTTGGACATGATTTTAACCAAACTAAAATGTGAGCTGGTATTAAAGAGGACACAGAACTTCATCCATCAAAATAGGCTAATACGACAGTATTCATACACAATCGATATGTGAAATTGTAGCTTCTATGTTTTTAATGTCTCTGCTATTAAAATGGTTATTGAATAATATCAGGAGCACTAGAAAACCAAGTGCAAAGTAATTATATGCTAATGTGCCAATGTAGCAAATACCACCATAGTAACCACTGATGAATGGCAATCACTGTAATCCAATATTAAACTAATACATTTTCCAGTATTAAACTAATACATTTTTATGGTAAATAATTTACCCTCAGACTTTCTGTAAAAAAAAAAAGATAGCAAATGTATGGCGTTCTGTTGTCTTTTGCTGTATAAGCAGAGCATAAGAAGCTAGTCAGTTGTGGAACTACACTTAAAATCTGGGACCAAAAAAAAAGAAATTAATGCATGAGTAAATCTTTTGGGCCCTTTCAAGATTCATATTCTGCTTAAGTGTGAAGTATATGTTGTGCATGATATTACAGATGAAAATGCAGTTTGGAAGAGAATAAGCCACTCAAATTCATCTTCTTTGTCCTGTATACAGGTATAAAAATGAATGTGAGTATCAGCAGAGGCTAAAAGAAACGCTTCAACGCCTTAATAAGGTAAGCCTAGAAAATGGAAAACAAATGATTTTCATCAGTTTTGCTGCAAGATATTTTGGGAATATGTCTCATATTTTAGACAAGCATTTCTGAAATTTTCTCTGTGTCTCCCCAAACCCACAAAAACAAGAGCCGTAGAAAGAGCCCACCTTACGATACCCACATTAGACATTGCTGTGTGGACAGAGCCAGGTTCTCAGTAGAAGAAGTTTCATTCGGAAATTAGAGTAAGGTAAGCCATGAGAACTTGGGATCTTTCCTCATTTTCCTATGAGAAGATATCTTTTTAGATACGCTTACTCTTCAACGGCTGGCCAGTGGAAGCACTTTTCCAGCCATATTTTCAGGATCATGTTTTAATGGGTGTTAGATATTTATAACTGCTTAGACACTTTTGAGATTTCTTGGTTGGTGCTTAACCGCATTTTTAAGCATCCAGATATGTTTAGTTTAATCCAATCTGATCACTAAGCAGACTCTTTTCTGTCATAAAACCCATTGTCCTACTGAAGCCTGTGGAATACAAGCGAGATTCAGTAACGTAGTCTTTAAGTTGCAATTACGTCTATGAGAGTTGGTAGATTTTGGCTGTAAGGTGATTTTGATGCTACTAAGAGAAGAATCCTGTTTGAGAGAGGTGCTGCTGAGGTCAGCAGCGATTCTTTAAAATAAGACAGATTTGGTTTTAGTAAGGTGCTGTAATGAAGAAACCAACTTAAGGTAAATAGCAGATCCCGAGAATGAATTTTAAACTTCTTTACTTTCCTAGCAGCTGACGAGCCCTCTGGGCTTCTTTAAGTAATGCTTTACGTACCAGTGACTTCTAAACCTGTGGCAAGCCTTCACGACAGACGTCATACGGAGACTCTTCTCCACTGAAACCCTTTTAGTCACCTCCCAGTTTGTGCCTCTGGTTCTCAGTGGGAGAGCTTTAGCGGAGAAAGTGGAATACAAATCATTTCAGAGTCAGCATGTAGCATCTGAACTGCCCAGTGGGGAGAAATAAAACAATTGAATTTAAAGCATCAGTGTCAGCAGGATTAGAAAGCTCCATGCGAGTATTCTCAGAAGAAAGATATGGGCCAGGAGCCAGCAAAACAGAGGAAGGAAATAAAGAAGAAATCTTGGGAGCATGTTTCGTTGCCACTTTTCCTCCATTTCTAGTTTTGTCATAATGTTTCTCCTACATATGGGATCTCATATACATCCTATCTGTATGTGTATAATGTGTTTGCTAGATGCAGGTCGTTAGCCTAGGAAGGCCAGTCAGACGCTAGTGGCTTCTGGGACACAGGCAAGCCAGCTCAGTGGTGAGTTACGTATACTCCAGACAAAGCTTGAAGGACAGCATGAAACTTCCACAGCAGAACAAAGCTTTGCTTGTTAATCCTGCATGCCCACATCTTCCTATTATCTAGCTGTCATGTGACCTTCTAATTAGGCTTTTCCTGCCCTCAAATTAAATAGACTTATTTGCTTCTTCATTGTTGCCTTCATTACTCTCAAATTATATCACATTCTGTAATTACTCATTGCTGCTTTCATTTCACTAGAGAAACCTCACAATCTCCATGACAGGGGCCTTCTTGATTAGTGTAAGTAAAAACTTCAGGAAGTGAGTCTTCTAGTCTGGCTCTCACATTTGCCTGTTTCTCCCTCCTACTTACGGGTAAATACCTGCAGCATGAAGAATTTAACTCCCAGTGTAGGACCAAATACGTATTTGCAAGGATGCTGATGTCTCATTACTTTGTTGGGTATATTCAGGTCAAGCATCATTGCCCTACAGGTATCCCCCAGCTCCTCATTTGCAGATTATTTATAATGATGTAGTTCAATAGAGGTGTTATATTTTTTTTTGCATGATAGAAAATTTCAATTTCGTGGTATTATATTTTTAAAAAAAGTTTTACCTTTTCTGAGTAATCGGAATGTTGTCAGTTGCAGATCTGCATGGTTGATACTACAGCCTAGAGGAGGTACTGGTGGACGTTTTTACATTACCAATTTACCCTCTTCTCTGGTTAGATTAGCTATGTAAACACCTGCTTAGTGTATTCCTGAAACACATTTTATCCCTATAATCCAACATTTTAGTGATTGATGAAGTTTTAGTATAGGTCCCACAACATCTGCAGAACAAATTTATTCTGAAATAATAATAAATTATAAATAAATTTAACAGTGTGGTTGCAGGCAGTTCAGTGCCAGGTGACTTCAGCAGTGGAGAGCTGGACATGTTTGTATAGATGGAGTCTTACTGTCTAATAACTTCCTGTGAGGTTGAAAGAGGAAACTGCTGAAGGATCCCGGATGGTTCCCATGTCCTGAATCTGGGGTTTTATTCTGTAAAGCATAATGTTATCAAACTTCTCGGGGAGAATCCCAGCTATTCTGGTGGCCTAGAATCTCTTCCAACCAGCAGTTCAGTTAATTTTGTTCTCAAGATGCCAACTAAGCCTCTACATCATTAAACAGTGAGTTAAAGAGAACCAGAAAGATGAAGTATCATAATGGTACGGCACCCGCCCGCACAGGCACATCTTTGCTGTCTGACTCACAGAAAAGCATCCACTATTTTCGTAAAAGTTTTTATAACCAGCCAGCTTTGAGACATGAGGTTCTTGCTGTTTGGGGAAGATTTGCAGGAGGGCACTGAGACTGTCATCTCTGCACACAGGGAACAGGGTAAGAGCATTCCCCATCGGCCTTCAGCACAGCCTTTAACGCCTTGGCATTAATAGCTGTAGCTACGAGTCAAGGGCCTGTTCTGTCTCTTTTCCAAACACTGGGTTTGAGGCCTCTGCTTGTGCAGTCAGTGATGTATTGTGACGGCTGACTGCGAGCGTTTTGTACCAATTTGATACTGCTGACTGCGTAAGGTGCAGTGCAATGAAGCTCTGGCAGAGCTGGCACCGCATTATCGGGGGAACAGTTTCGGGAGCTGGGGCAGAGCATCCAGAGCAGAACATAAATCTGTTCCTTGCTGGCCTAGTCTCCTGAGGGGAAACAAAAAACAACAAAAAAAAAAAAAGGAGAGCAAAGGGTCTCCATAAAGAAATGGTAGAAAACACAGAGGTGAGGTAAGGCTCACTTGTAGTCCTTCCCCACTGCCAGCAGAAAGCCTAAGTGAAGGTCAATGGTGACAAATATCTAAAGTGCATATACCAAAGGAGGAAGTTCTGATCACTTGTTTTACCATGTCTCTTTTTAGGAAGCATGTTTTCACTGCAATTGTTCACAGTCTTTAAGCAGGATAAAGAAAAAAAGAAACAGAAAAGGTATTCAAGGTAATACTGTAACAAAAAAAAAACTCAGTGAAAATCCATGCTTTTTTAAAACAGAAACAAATTCACAGAGAAGACGTCATGGAGCAGACAACAAACTTCAGAAGCCTTTGATCTGATTTCTTTTGTCTTAAACACATTAACTATGTGATGATAGTAAGGGTGTGCTCCGTGGCTATGTAATGGCTAAATAGAGAAAGGTGCTGCTAGTGAGGTGGCAGAGACAGAAAAGTACAAAAAAATGGGTAACTTCTGCTTCTTTTTTTCTACTTACATCATGGCATAACATCTATATTCATTGCACACTGATGAAAACCTTTTCTCTTCCCTTTGCGCCCTCCCTAAGGCTTGTGCAAGTGGCTGTTTTGGTATATGCCTGCACACTGGGCAGGGCCCAACTCTGTACAGAGTCCTATTGGTTTTGATTATGCAGCACATGGTATCCATAGCCCACACCCTTAGCCCTGCTCAGGACTTCTTGAATTTTTCAAGAAGACTAGGGACCAGCATGATCTACTGCGTAACACAGCTTTAGATTATCACCAAATGTCTCCCACAATGATTTTGGGATCTAGAGTGGAAATTTTAGCGTCGCTTCTGCAGCTTGAAATTTGCAAGCTGACTCTTGCTGAAGATCCCGCACATGTTTAAGTGCCTTTAACAACTCTTTTCTTACTCAGAAGACAATTCCCCTCTGTGTAGATTTGAGTCTACACATAAAGATAGGTAGAGTCCATTTACTAGTCCTGCCAAGACTGAATACCATGTAGCCAATATGCATATCTAACAGTCTGGAGTGTGGATGGAGAAAACATGTTAGGGCACTAAATACCTTTTTTTTTTCATTCTTTTTCTTTCTTAATGCAGAATCAGGACCATAACAGGAGATAACATTGATCATGTCCAAATCTTTAAATCTCATGCTTCTCAAAGCTCCTCAGTCCCTTACTGGATGTGACCATCCCTTCCCAGCATTAATCCTCAACTTCTAATCAGGTTTCCAAGCAAAAAATAAGCTACAATACCCTCTGGTTTGTTCCTATCTCAGTGAAAACATGGGGAGTGATTTTGAGGAGCTGCACTTTACCGAGCTAATCTCATAGGAAGAAAAATAAATAATAAAAAGGCTCAAAGGAAAGTGAAAAGTTATAAATTTCCAAACCTGGTCTGTGCAACTGAGAAAGCCTAATTCATCTTTGTTTGCTATTAGCTTTTATCTGAGAGAAGAAAGTTGTATTATGTCTTTCATCAGTTCTATTTTCTACTGCCTATCTTTTGTCTTTTGAGTTGAGAAACAGTTGCTGGTGGATTAAACAGAGATATTTTTATTCCCCCTGTACAGATGGAAGGAGCTGTTCTGCTTGAACAAAGCTATTTCAGTCACTTGTACTTCTTCATATGTATAAAAAAAGTGTATTTTAGTGTTTCCTTCTCCAAGGAGCTCTAGGCAACCTGCATGACTCGTATCAGCCAGTGTGCTAGAGGGCTCTTGAACATCCTGTGAGTTCTTAATGTTTTTTGAGGGAAGTTCACCTGAGGACACCTGGCATCAGAACCGTCACTTTGTGTGGTATAAACCCTGCCTGCTGGAAGGGGGAGCTGGAGCTGGTGGGTCCATCTTCATCGCTCCCCTCAGTCAAATTGTGGCTAAAGAAAGGAGGATTAATTTGACCGCCCTAGGCATAGCTAACAAGATCTTGAGCTGCTTGTGGTTTGTCCGAGGCTGAGGCTGGGCTGCCTGCTTGGACTCTCACCAGAAAGAGCTACCACTTTTGGTAGCTCAGTACTGTGGGGTGCATGAAGCCTACGGTGCAGACGACTGATTGCTGGGTCATTCCTCGTGCTGGGCTGTTATCCTGGACCAAGCTCAGTGATGAGGGATGCGTACGAGTCATGGGATTTCCACAGATGTTTTCCCCAACATTTTGTTCAGGGCAGGTTCACACTCCCAGATATAGCTCAGGCACAAACGTCACCAGTCCATCTGACTAACAGCTGACCTTCTGGAATAACCATAATGTGTGGCTTTATTTCAGGGAGCAAATGGGGTTTAGTACAGTGTTGTCTACCTGTGTTTGTCGTTCTTGCACAAATCCTAGCAAGAAAGCCACTGCATAAATAGTTTGCTTCTTGCTACACATGTAGGCAATGAAAGTCACCACTGCTGGCTAAGTTGCTGTTTTAAAAGATGTGCTAGTGATTTGATATGTTACTAAGGATCAGTAATAATATCTTCTTGGAGGTGGAAGCTAAAGTGCTTGGTTTTGTCACACATTAGTTGTCACACTTCATATTTCCCATCCCTCAGTTTGTGCTCAAATCTCATACCTGGATGTGTGCAACTTAAGTCATAGATACAGAGACTTTAAGCAGAAGGACGGATGCTGGACAGAAGACAGCTGATTTCCTGCAGAATGCCTAAGGTGTGACAGAAATAAGCCTGTACAAATTTAAACTCAAGCCGTTTCAGCAGAAGGAGAATCAATTTGGAAAATCAGAAAGCAGTGATTCTGCACAGATCTAAGGGATTTCTCTCCCATGGTAAATGCTTGAAAATGCTGCTTAATCACATAGATCAACATTTTGGAATCAGCATCTAAAGTAGAATGTTTTTTCGTAAGTTGAGTTGATAGCAAATACTGCAAAATAAAGAAGAAAAAATGCAGATGCTGTATTGTTTTGATACAGAGCATCGTTAATGAAGCTAGTCTATTTGAAAACAGAGCAAAAAGCAGAAGTATTTTTCCCCTTTGAAGAAACGTTTGGAAAGGTGAATGCTGGATTTGCTTATTACATGCAGAAACAGTTGCTTATTGCTAATATCTAGGGGCTTGGGGGCTCCCCCACAAGTCACATAACACTGTCGTTGTTGTGCTGACCTTTCTCTGAATAGGATGCCAAAGACTGCAGCAAAGCAACATGCATTCCCGATGACTGGCTGAGAACTTTCTGGTCTGGATCTGTCTGAGTTAGCTGGTTTGCTCACAATGCAGTTGCTTGCTCTAGAGCTGAGTGAATCCATGAATGGCTTCATCATGTGTCAGCGAGCATGGCTAAAAGATTCAATAGCATAATGAAAAGAGCAAACAGCTACATATTTTTGAATAGTGCATTGTGTGCATGTGAAAGAAGAAAAATCCTTTCCTGTTAGTCATATGCTGTGCCCATATATTTTAGTGTTTAATTTGCAAACCATGATCCATTCACTGAGACATATTTACAGATGGTAACTACAAGTAGGTTATTTTAAAGTGACACCTTTAAATCTATTTTTTTTCCCTTTTTATCTCCTGTTCTTAGAATTAACATCGAGGGTGACCCTGGCTGAACTCTCTGCTCCTCACTCCAGGGATTTTTGTTTCTGCCCTTGTCTTAGGCTACGAGCTCGACATTTTGAAACACAGAAATCACAGAACAGTTGCGGTTGGAAGGAACCTTTAAGGATCATCTTTTCCAACTCCCCTTTTCAAGCAGGGTCACCTAGAACAGGTTGCCCTGTACCCTGTCCAGATGACTTTTGAATATGTCCAAGGATGGAGAACCCATAACCTATCTGAGCAACCTGTTTCAGTGCTCAGTCACCCTCACAGTAAAAAAGTTTCTCCTTATAATCAGGTAGACCTTCTTGTGTTTTAGTTTGTGCTCATTGCCTCTCGCCCTGCCACTGGGAGCCAATGAGAAGCATCTGACTACGTCTTCTTTACACCCTCCCTTCAGATACTTCTACATATTGATAAGCTCCCCCTTTGGTCTTCTCTTCTTCAGGCTGAGGAGTCCCAGCTCTCTCAAGGTTTCAAGTCCCATTCACTTCTGTCATATACACTACAGAAATCAATTCATTATTCTGTTGATATCATATGTTCAAAATTCATGCACCATTGCAAACTGCAGCCTGAAAAACTGGTATTGCATAGTGTCTATTACTTGGCTCCCAGCACTCATAAAGCATATGGTAAACATATTTTGACAGTGCCATTACTAAACTGTATTATAAATTATATTTGGGCAGAAAATCAGTGTGTAAAATGGGAAAACACAGTGTATAAAGTTCCTGTTCTTTGTTGGCTGGTACTTTTTTTCTTCCACTAGACTTTAATTTTCTAATGCCAGTTGTACACACGTAAAACAAATCACGTCCTGAATAAGTGGCTGCTGTGTTCTTGGCTATCCAGTACTGAGCGTATCCCACATATCTGCATTGCAGGAAGCTGATGAAGCATTGCTGTGCAACCTGGAACTGCAGATTGAATCCCAGTTCCTGCAGGATGACATTAATGCCACAAAGGATAGATACAAGAAGGTAAGTGGCTGAATTTGATGCCTTCTTTAGATCTTCTTTCTAGAATGATGTGTAGAGTTTTCCCTTATTCATGATCTGTTCTAGTGGCCAATTAACATAAGTAAAATATGTGTTCTGATGGCTAAACAGAGTGATATAAATTCACTGAGCACAACAGCTGCAATGTGGGATTCAAGCCCAAGAGGTAGATGGTTGCAGATCTCCAGGCTGACTCACTCAGGGTCCAATGTCTCTGGCTGTGGACAATGTTAGGAATCTGTTGACCTGTTATCATGATTCAACCCACTGTGCTGGTTAAGCTGTCCTATATTTCATGCTAAGTAGCCATTGCTTTCATCAGTTTCCCAGCTTCTGGGCAAGGACATTCTAGTTAGTAAGTCTGTGGCTATACGACTGAGCTGCAGCCAACTTTAATTAATATAAGCAGCCCCTTCCTTCTCCTGCCTGGGAGAGCTGTGGGGTTTCATGCCAGGCCAGTGTCCCATCTTTGTCACTCTCGAAAGAGAAGACTCATTCGGTTCCCGTAGCAAACCACACTCTGCTCCAGCTTCTTGCTGCCCTGCAGCTCCAGGAAGGACTGGAGAGACAGCTCTTGGTTTTGCTGAACATGGCCAGAGTGAGAAAAGTCCTTTTTTTGGATCACTTGCAAAGGTATTTGTGGTTATCATTTTGAAAATTTCTTGTAAATTTCTTGTAAAATCACAAATCACAAAATCTTTAATTAAGGATGTGAAGCATATTGTCATTTCACCAAACATCTGTGTTATATACTCAGCACGATTAAACTGTTAGCACACATGCAGCTGAATTCAGGCCTAAAATTGCATGCAGAAGCTCAAGTCTGAACATGACTCAGACTTTTATATATTAAACGAAAGAAACAGCAAGGAGTAAGCCCCAGAAGCATAGAACATCATTGAAAAGAATAACTTGCTATAGCAATTTCTAATGCAAATGATTTTTGCTTCACTACAGAATCTTATGGAAATCCAGACCTACGTCAATGTTTTACAGCAGATCATCCAGACAACCCCTCGTGTGTCCCCTATAACCGCTGGCATAGCTGAGGTAAGTTTTCCAGTCAGTAAATACATGCTGCGCAGTTAGCACTAATTTAGAAGGAGTTAATGTTTATTTCTAAAGCATCCCAGATCCTCTAGCTAACTCCCACTCCAAGATTAGAAGAGAACTGCAACTGTAAATATTGAATACTAAGTGATCACAAGAGAAACACTAATTGTAGCTTTGGAAAACCAAAGTGATCAGGAGCAGAGAAACTGCCTTCAGTCAAGCACGTTCCAGGGTATATATTAGCCCCACGCTTAAAATGGCTAGTTCAGAGGTAACTGATGTAGTTATGCTTCCTATCTGAGGAAGAGGTGGCAGGAAATATGAATACATACAGACAGAGTAGACCTTCTCCAGAAGGGACAAAATGTAGGAAAATTTATAAATCAAATAAATTGATACAGACTGGATGAAAACTTGGCAGATTCTCACCAATTTAAGTAGGTATGCCAGGAATATTTATTTGTGTGAAAATTATATGAACAGCTGTTTCTATAGGATCTATTTTCAGCATAAGTTACACTTGTACAGCGCTGCCGTCTGATATTTTTTATTCTTAAAGTTATACCAAAGGGTTTTCTTGAGGTCTGATCCCGATCTTTCTGTTTGTCTTCATGGTTTATTTCCAGCAGTAGAACTTCTTTTGACGCTTTTAAGCAATGCAACATACTTTCTTGCCTGTATATTGCTATTTTTTTCAATCAGGAAAAACTGGTAGCTGAGCGGAGAATCCCCATTCTGCAGAGTCAGCTGGAGGAATACAAGAGCATTCTTTGCCAGCTACAGACACAGAAATATAAACTGCAGACAGAGGTACGTACCATCATACTTGGCCATAAACACTACTGTGACTCTCATAAACTCTACTGTTCCCACAGCCATGCAATAAAACCTACGTGGCCTATAATGGGGTCTTGGGAACACAAATGATCTGGAAAGGCGGAGGCACGTTTTCTTTTTAGTTTTCGGCTGTTTCTTTCCTGTTCTCTCAATGGCCCCAATCATTGGGTTTATATGGTCAGTCAGGAACGTGTGATAGATGTTGTAACCACAGTGAAGCCATCTTCACCTTGACAGAGCAGCTGGTGCAAGAAGGTTTTCCATTGTGATTGGATGCCTGAGGGAAAGTGTCAGCAAGGAGGTGGAGGAATGAAAAATCCCACAGTGGCTGGCTTTCACTTACCTTTGCTCAGGCTGGAAACATACTGGCAGCACAGAGAAACCGGCCCCTTGAAAAACGATCGGGGAAATTTAAACCTCTGGCCTATCCTTTCTATCAGCGCCACATCTAATGTTGAGCTTGATGTGAGAATGACCAGGTGAGATCAGGTAGTCTGCACGCAGGACTGACTTGGTGATCAAAACTGAATGTCCTTTAAAATGTATGTCAAGCTACATTTGGCATCCTGCATTCTTCCTTGTCGCTAATAACCGCTAGATCAACACCTGCCCTGTACTTGCAGACTACCAGCCCCAAAAAATCTGCTTTTTGCAGATCGATGATTTGCAGAAAATGGCTGACCAAAACTTTTTCTCATTGCTCCTGCCCATCTGCCAACTAAACCTGTTGTAAAGCAGCCTCTTCCTCTAGCCTGTGTCTTCTAATGAGAGTGTGGTGCAAGCAGGAAGGGAGGCAGGAGAGAGAGACTCCAAGGAGTGGCTAAAGGCTATAACGAATAGAAAATAGTTCTGCGCAGGTGAAAATGTCAGATCAACCTCTATGCAGTTGCATGTTTTCTTCAGGAGATGGGATAGAAAAACCTTATTCCCCTGCAAGTGCAGCCGCCTTTGTACCTTCAGCTTTCACTGCTGTTAGAGGAGGGTATACTAGCATAAAACACCTCGTGGCGATTTTGGACTCCTCTAGACAGCCATAACAGAAGCTCTAGCTTCCTGAGGGTAACTTTTTTAGCTACTCCTGCCCCCATCTTTTCCTCTATCTCTTTTTCATGTTTGATGCTTTGGTGAAAAGGATGCATGCACCTAGGGAGGAGCAAGAGCCTATATACAGTGACAAGTGAGATCCGGGGGAGAAAATCAACTTTCGAAAGGAACTATTTGGGGAATTAATCATGATAATTTCAAGAGTGAACCTAAATGTTCCATTTAGAAAGAATTTATTAATTGATTCATTCTAATGCACTGAGGTTAGAAGAGTGAAATAACTTCACGAGCCGATGACTTGCTTGTAATGTTGAAAACTGGATTCAGTGACTGAGACATGCCCTAGGTCCTTTGTTGTCCTGCTTCTAGGCATGAGAACCATGTTGCAGAGAGGTTATAGAGTCCACCTTTTGACCACAGCACAGTAAGATGGTTTGTGTGCACTCTTATTCTGCAGTATTACCAAATTAATGCCAAGGGAGTTAGTATCCTAAATTTAGGCTCTTAAAAGGTTTTCAAAAATCTTGCCTGTATCCTATAGAAATAAATCAATTATTAAAGAATCCATTAGCCATTTATGGCCCCATTAATTTTTTGTGAGTACATTTCTTTAAAAGCTGTCTGAAAGGGGGAAAAATCCCAAATGATAAAGAAACTATAATAAATAGCCAAAAAAATAGCAGAAGAAAATGACAGCAGAAGTGCACGTGCACAGTCTAAGTTCTTTCCCTTGCGCTCACAAGGGACTCATCGCCACCTCCTGGTTAATGTGCGCTCTCATGGCTAGTGTTTAGGCTTGCTGCACAACAGGTTTTTTTATTATTATTACTACACTCAAAAAGGCAAGGAATTAACTGCAAAAGGGAAGCTTTTTGTTTAAAAAAATTCTTCTTTAGCCTTCAGTGCTTGGTCTGTGGACCACAATTAAGGAAGAACTGGTTTTGCCCATGCACATCTTCCTGGTTAAGAATTTCATGTACACTTCACAACAGGAGGTTGCTCTTCTTCCTTTTAAGACCCCACGTGCTCTCCAGCTGTTGCAGTGAGCTGTAGTTTGCATGGTGAGACATCAGCCAGCTCCCCGCTGCACAGGGAAGGAGGCATCACACAGCTGTTTTTCTGTCTCCTGGCATGATTTCTGGTTCATGCTGATCTTGTAGTTTTTATTGTGGAATAAGAGCCTTGGAATAGATAAGGGATTTTTTTTTTAATGGATTCTGAACAGCTAAACAAATGCCATGAAACTATCTCCTTGCTTCAAGAGCGCAGCCTCAGGCCTGGACTTCAGAGCAGGTCCACGGGAACCTGAGGGCCATTTGAGCATGGTGTTCCCTGAATCCCTGAGAAAGACAGCTTCAAGCAGTCCTGTGATCATTATATATTATAGCAATCTGCTTCCCAGTAAGCTGAATATCCTGCTTGCTTTAGCATCTTGATGAAATATGTCTTGCCTTTAACAATGATTCTAAAATATGTATCAAATAGGAATACCGAATACTTTTAAACTGTTTCTTTCATCCACCAACTTTGTTTACCAGACAACCATGCTGGAGCAAGTGATTAAAAACACCCAGGAGAGTTATGATGATGAAATTCAGCTCTACAATGAGCAGATTGAAAACCTTAGGAAGGGGATAGAAGATGCCGAAAGGATCTTGGAAAAGTACACAACTGACTGTCGCCAGTTGGCAGTCTATCAGCAGTCCCTAGAGAATGAGCTGGAACGGTACAAACGTATCATTGAGAACGAGGACAGCCGGTAAGGCTAGATTTCTGTATTTTACCCACCTAAAGCTATGGGCATTTCATACCGCTAGTTTTCCAATTGATTCAAAATCCATTCAAGTCACTACCAAGGAAAGGCTCAGCACCACAGTGCTCAAGGGTCAGGTAAAAATGAAAGAAAACTGACTGTCCTCTTCACTGCTAGGAAACTCCAACACTACAGCCCTCACAGATAGCTATTTTTTACAAGCTTACTAGCTGCTGCATGATAATTGCACCTCTCAAGCCACACAGGATAGCCCAGCACATACAACTGCAGCTGGTTGCATGCGTGTATAAGTGAATCTTGCTGGCACATTTTAGGCAGGCTTGTCTTGCAGGGCTCAGGTATGGCAAATGTTTTGTATAGCAAAGCACTCACAGCAATTCTTAGGCAAGCAAGGGGAAAGGGTAGAATAGAATAAATTTGCAGGGACTGGAGTTGTATTTAAATGAGACGCAGTCCTCCGAAGGGAAACTAGCACCCTCTAATGTCAACCACTAACATCGCAAGAGGAAACGAGCTGACCTTCCGCAGCAGTGTGTAGTACAGCCTGGGCAGGCAAATGCAGGAGAAATGGACCCCTGAATGGCCAAAAATACTGTTCTAGCTGATCTAGAAGATGCAGGAGAAAGCTATTCACTAATGGATAATGTGGTAGATTGTAGATCTAGGTAGGTACCCAATCACATAGGTAGATTAAAATGGGGGAATAGATCATTTCGTCTAACTTTTGGCATCTGGCTTTGGACACTAAGCTTTCTAATTAAGAGTGTCTGATCAGGGTAATTCTCAGCATCTTAAGTGGAAACATGCATATTTCTCCTGACTGTACAGAGCTTGCAGTCTTGAGCTAGACACGTAGATCTAGATGTGAGTATCTAGATATATCCTCCTTCCAGAGAAAAAAAAATTATCTCAATTTCTGGGTCTCACAGAGTAGCCTAGAGAGGCCATGGGTAGAGTAACTGTGTTTTGCATATGGGCCAGACTCTCATTTTGCCATTAATACCACTGATACCTCAAATATTTTCCAAGGGAGACTAGTCAGTTTTCATCTGATCAGGCATTTGCAGGAAGCATTGAATATGCTCCCAAATGTCATGTTTTATTAGCCAGCTTTTATAAAGCGACAATATGATCTGGGGAATACAAACAGTGACACTTCCAAAAGGATTGGGTTCACAGAATCACAGAACAGCCAAGGTTGGAAGAGACCTCTGGAGATCATCTAGCTCAACCCCCCTGCTCAAGCAGGGACACCTAGAACACACCTAGAACGCACAGGATCACATCCAGATGGGTTTTGAATATCTCCAAGGATGGAGACTCCACAACCTCTCTTGGCAACCTGTGTCAGTGCTCTGTCACCCTCACAGGAAAGAAGTTTCTCCTCAGGTTCAGATGGAACTGCCTGTTTGTGCCTGTTGCCTCTTGTCCTGTCGCTGGGCACCACAGAGAAGAATCTGGCCCCATCCTCTTGACACCTCCCTTCAGATGCTTGTAAACATTGATGAGATTGCCCCTCGATCTTCTCTTCTCCAGGCTAAACAGGCCCAGCTCTCTCAGCCTTTCTTCACAGGAGAGATGCTCCAGTCCCCTCATCCTCTTTGTAGCCCTCCGCTGGACTCTCTCCAGGAGCGCCATGTCTCTCTTGTACTGGGGAGCCCAGAATTGGACACAGTACTCCACGTGAGGCCTCACCAGGGCTGAGTGGAAGGGGAGGATCCCCTCCTTCGACCTGCTGCCAAAACTCTTCCTAACACAGCTCAGGATACCAACGGCCACCTTTGCCACGAGGGCACATTGTTGGCTCATGGTCAAACTTGTCCACCAGGACTCCCAGGTCCTTCTCCAGAGAGCTGCTTTCCAGCAGGTCAACCCCCCAGCCTGTACTGGTGCATGGGGTTCTTCCTGCCTAGGTGCAGGACCTTGCACTTGCCTTTGCTGAACTTCATGAGGTTCCTCTCCACCCAACTGTCCAGGTCACTCTGAATGGCAGCACAGACTTCTGGTGTGTCAGCCACTCCTCCCAGTTTAGTATCATCAGCAAACTTGCTGAGGGTGCAAGCTGTCCCTTCATCCAGGTCATTGATGAATAAGTTAAACAATACTGAACCCAGTCTAAGCCTCTAGGGTCCACCGCTAGTTACTGGCCTCCCACTAGATTTTGCACCACGTATCACAACCCTCCAAGCTCTGCCATTCAGTCGGTTCTCAATTCAGCTTCAAAAGCCTTGCTGAAGTCCAGGTAGACAATATCCACTGCTCTCCCCTCATCTACCCGGCCAGTCATCCCATCAGAGAAGGCTATCAGGTTGGTTAAGCAAGATTTCCCTTGGGTGAAGCCATGCTGACTATTCCTGATCACCTTCTTGTCCTCCACATGCTTAGGGATGGCCTCCAGGATGAGCTGTTCCATCACCTTTCCAGGGATGGAGGTGAGGCTGACAGGCCTGTAGTTCCCTGGGTCTTGTTTCTTGCCCTTTTGGAAGACTGGAGTGACGCTGGCTTTCTTCCAGTCCTCCGGCACCTCTCCTGATTGCCAGGACCTTTCAAAGAGGATGGAGGGTGGCCTAGCCATGATGTCTGCCAGCTCCCTCAGTGCTCGTGGGTGCATCCCATCAGGGCCCATGGATTTATGGATGTCAGGTTTGGACAAATGATCTCTAAGCTGATCCTCCTCAACCAAGGGAGGGTCTGCCTTTCTCCAGACTTTCTCCCTGGTCTCCAGGGTCCGGAATTCCTGAGGGCTGGCCTTAGCAGTGAAGGCTGAAGCAAAGAAGGGTGTTCAGCAACTCTGCCTTCTCTGTATCCTTCGTCATCAGGGCACCCACCCCATTCAGCAGTGGACCCACATTTTCCCTAGTCTTCCTTTTGCTACTGATGGATTTGAAGAAGCCCTTCTTGTTGTCCTTGACATCCCTTGGTAGATTTGATTCCAAATGGGCCTTAGCCTTCCTTGACGCATCCCTGCATACTCTGACATTGTCCCTGTAATCCTCCCGAGTAGCCTGTCTCCTTTTCCACATTCTGTAGACTTCCTTCTTCTGTTGGAGTTTTGTCAGGAGTTCCTTGCTCATCCATGCAGGTCTTCTGCCCACTTTGCTGGATTCCTTACTCAGAGGGATGCACTGATCTTGAGCCTGGAGGAGGTGATACTTGAATATTAACCAGCTCCCCTGGATTCCCCTTCTTTCAAGGGCCCTACCGCATGAGATTCCTCCAAGTAGGTCCCTGGAGAGGCCAAAGTTAGCTCTCCTGAAGTCCAGGGTTGCGATCCTACTTTTTGCCCTGCTTCCTCCTTGTAGGATCCTGAACTCCCACCATCTCATGGTCACTGTAGCCAAGGCTCAGCAGCACATCTCTCCTCGTTGGCTTAACCTTTTTCACAAAGGATTTGTCAGCCCTTCATTCTTTGAAAAATCAAACCCATTTAAGGTGGCTCAGAGAGAACAGGTAAATCTAAAAATCTTGGCCATAGGCAAATCTAGATTATGCTTTTTTTTCTTGTGGTATAGAAATTGAGCAACAGATTTGCACATGTGCTGGAAATTGGATGCTAGGGCAAGGGATAGCGTATTTCTTCCTAGAGACTCAGTCAGCTCTGGGGAGAAGTACAGAAGGAGCCATTTCTCTTCAAAGGATCACTGACACCATCATCGAACTTACAGACTTGGCAGCTTCACCTTTGTGTCCCTTTCACTGTACTGGACTGGATGCTGTTCCATAAGTGAACCATGTGAACTGAAGCACGTTTTATAAGCCAAGATTTTTCCATTCATTGGCAGGCTCAAAAACCACAGGATCTGACATTGTGGTTTCGGATTCCCTTGTCAAAGAGGCAGTCATCACGAGATTAGCTTTTTATTGGCATCTCAAATCTTTTTTCTCATTTTACAGAACTTAGGGACCTGCCAAGGCTTTTTTTTCCCCTTGGCAATAAGATACACTCTTAAAACACCAAAAAGGAAAAATATACAGATGCGTCTTTTTTCTCTGACTCAGTTATCACCTGTCTCCTTCTCCACTAACACATCAGTGGTGTTCTTTTACAAAAAGACTTTCCCTGGGGGTCCCACTGCTGTCTTCAGGAGCGCTGTGCAGGCCCCTTTGACCGGAGCTGGAGTGAGTGAGTGCAGAGACCACCTGGAACACGAGAGGGAGCTTCAGTAAAGGAAAAGGCACAGAGCACCATCTCACAGCCTTAGGCTTGACGAATCCAGCTGAAGGCAGTTGGCTACCTTCTCATTTGTATCAAAGTAGATGACCACTTAATCTGGGCAGAGCGTATGATCCATGTTCTTGCTCGACAGTCATTAAAGGCATAAATGGGAGGTAAAGGTACAGGTGGAGGCAGAGGTCTGGCTGACCTCTGAGAGGCATGAATTGCCTACCTGCCCTTTCAAAATCTTCTTGCCCTTTCAAAATTGTTTGGTAAATGACAAGCCTGCTGCCACATTTTTTTTATTAACTGTGTAATTTTGCCCAATGGAACAGAGCATGCCAGGTCTTCTGCTGGTGGAAACCGGTGGTGTTGATTTTCACCAGACAAGACACAGGCTCACATCATGCTCCACAACTCCTCACCACAGAGGAATACATTTATTTAACCCTCTTGCTTCATTTTGTACAACTGCACTTGCTCTTGATGGAAATGAGGAGGGGAGGTCTGACTGACGCACATCTTCTCTACCAGGTTAAATTCCGCCATAGCAGGAACTCCAGTCACGCTCTTCACGCAGATCTATAGACCTGTCCAGCCTCAAGCTCCAAGGGGAAGAGGTAAATCTGTGACATGTTTTCCTGTGTCTGTCAGGAGTAGCATCATTGTATTTAAAGCCAGTTTTTCATTTGTATCTCTTATGAACACCAGCAGTAACAGTCTGATTCAAAGCTTGCTAGGTACACGAGATGATTTCAGCTTACCTCAGCTGGCTTTCGGACAATCAAGACGTTTCTTCACTCTGTTGATGGGCTAAAAAGTAAATTGCAAAAGTAAGCAAAGTCGAAAAGATACCTGAAACTTCAGAAAGAGCTGGTTTTGTTTGCTGGCTTGTTGCAAGTTGTTGTTTTACATCTTAATAATTTGAAAACAACATCAGGGCATGTTTAGTGCTGGAAGAAAGCAGAGGACATTTTTTGGTTGTGTTTATGTGCCATGGCCTGGTTTCACCTGAATGGTGTTTCCTCTGTGTTGTATGATGGCTTGTTTAGAATTAGGATGCTTGTAAACCTGCTGACCAGTAAATGGCCAGGACTAAAACAGAGAAGATGGTCTTAAAGAGGAGAGATGCTTCATAGAAAGGCAGTGTAGGTAAGAACATAAGGCATGACTTAATATAACATAAATTCAAGGAACACTGATGTTTTACTAGCAATGAACTATCCCTGGGACTAAGGATAAATTGTCTTGTGTCAAATGAGAGATTTTTTAGAGTGCAGGTGCAGCTTTTCCAGCTGCTCCTTGGCATGTAGCAATTTTAAATGAAATGGATCCATAATGCAATGCACAAGGCCAAATCCTCAGCAACTGTAAATAGCTATTGTCCCACAAAGCCAGTGGAGGTATGCTGTTTTATACCCCCTGAAGATGCAGCCCTGTCTCTAACTACACCTCTGCTTATTATCCATAAGGCTAACAGGGCATTTTATGTGCATTACTATATCCATGATATTCGACAAGTGCAGCTGTCTTCAGGAAAGCAAATTAATATTTGTCTGTTCCTGTGTTCCAGTAATTCCCAGTATCAATCTCTCTGCCTCCCTTTCCTCTAGTTGTTCATACCATGGAAATCACTAGGCTTCCTGTGCTCCTTCTGATGCTGCTACTGAAATAGCATGGGGCTTGTGGTTAATAACTGCCGCAGGAAATCAGAAATAATGGCTGCAGGCAAGGTTTCCTCTCCACATGGGCCTAAATATGTACATCAGTGTTCAAGCAATGCTGAAATATAGCTCCTCAGAACTGCACCCAAGCTAGCCAGCTACTCTATACCCCTCTGCTCCTAGGGCCACTGGTTGTCACCTGGTCCTTTCTGATTCACTCCCTGCATCTGGCCATACCCAAAACTGCCATGACAGGATGTACCTGGTTCACTCTTAGCCTCACTGGGATCCAAAAACAAGGCACTCTCCTGCTGTGGGAGGTCCTCTAGGTGATACCCTCAGAGAGCTCATCAGAGAGCCAGTCTTCAGAAAACAGTGGAAGAGATGATGATAACACTCACCTTTCTGGCCAGACCTGGACCTCCCACCCAGCAACCTTGCATTCAGTGGGAAGCTTTTAAATACGATTTTACTTTGTTTTGCTTTGTTTTCTTCCCCTTAACCCAAGCAGCTTCTGGAGTTGTTACACAGCAGACAAGCCATGACCACTTAGTCCTACTGCTGCGTTATGACTAACCTTGGGCACCTTTAGTATCTGTATTAGGAGACCAGTTTATTTATCTAGTTAATGGAACGAAATTCTTCCAAGAGGCCTGAGAGGAAGGTGTTGAATCATACTGCACTCTCAAGCTCTAAATGCCCCTCTTGAACATTAATACAGTCTTGGTAGGTGAATGTTTTATACAGCTGCCTTTTTTATATGCAAAGTTGTCACGTCTTCAAATTGTGTATGGAAGTGGCTGTCTCAGATGCAAGATGGCTACATGGCCATAGGGCCCAAGCAAAAGAACAGGCTCTCTAAAGTGCAAATGGAAATATGCTCACATTCGCTGTAGCATGCAGTTCACCTACAGTCAGCAGTGAGGGTGAGAGATGGCTTTACCCTTTGCAGCAATTGTGTTCAGTATTGTTTGTTGTTTGCTTTGTTTGATTTTCTCTAGATATCACCCAGGCTATGCAAGATATTGCCAGTGCAAAGCCCAGACAAAAAGCTCTGATAAAGAAAATTTCCAGGAGAAAGGAGATCACATCTAAAGATATAACTGATGGTCTCTCACCTGAAAAAATGCACGAAGGAACTCTGGAAGGTTTTGACCAAGATCAGCTAGATTTTAAGCACGAAAGCACAGTCATATGTGAACCTGGGTGGGAAGGATTCGAATCTGATGAAAAAGAAAAGGTTCCAGAGGATATACCTGATGGAGCCAAGATAAGCAAAGCCTTTGATAAATTGTGTAACATTGTGAGGGAGAAAATAAAAGTCTACAAGAAACCAGAGCCTAAACCTGATTCCTACGCCAAAGGGCGTTACGTGCTGGTAACAGAGGAAGAACGTTATAAAGAGCCTTGCATCTTGCCTTCCGCCGTCCCAGCTGTGGGAGGGATCATAGTTTCCACCAGCAATGGGAAGGTAACAATCAGTGGTGATGTGGTGCCAATACCGGAGCTGCCAGAACCCACCGAACCATCAGAAAAAGAGAAAGAGGGTGTCTGTGAAAGAAGGGAAGAGTTTGAATACCCAGAAAAACTGAAAGAAGAAGAGAAAGAAGAAGTGCTTGAATGGGGCAAAAAACCAACAGGAAAAACTGAGCCACCCCCAAAGTATCCAGACATCTGTGAGCCTGAGACAGTCCCTTCCCCTAGTCTAATAAGCGTAACAGAGCCAGGAGTCCTTCAAGAGGCAGAGTACGACAAAGATAAGGAAGACCTTTTGTTCAGGGAACCAAGTTTGCCCAGTTCCCTGAGCTACGAGAAGGTGGAAGTGGTGGAGTCCATTGAGAAATTTTCAGACGATAGAATTCAGACGTATGAAGAGACAGCAATGATTGTGGAGACGATGATAGAGAAGACGAGCAAGAAGAAGCCAGGTGACAAAGGCTCTTAAGTGATTTGCACCTTGGATAGTCAACATGTCTGGCACAGTTATTAAACGACACATTTTTTTCCTGACCGAATGATAAAATAGTGAGATTTTTGCTGTTTGGTATGGAACAGATTGATACCTTGATGGCAGTTCTGTCTGATGTAGGTTCACCATTGGTGTAATGATCATTAGAACTCTCCAGGGCAATGAGTAATAGGCACATTCTAGGCAACTAATTTCATGATTAGGACAAGTTGAAAGTAATTGTTATTACAGAGTTGCCTGGCTAAACAAAAGCATCTAGGGCAAATTTGCCACTTCCAGTGCATATTCCTCTACTGCTCCTTTAGCTGCCATAAGATTCTCCATCTCTCAGACAGCTGCAAATGTTGACTTGTGACATCTGGTTCATTTAATAAAAGCTTTGGCTTCTAAAGAAAATACTCACAGTGGGTGTGTGTTGCTTTTAGCACTGAGTCTTTGCTAGTAAAAATTAACTGACTGGGTTTGCACGACTCTTTCCAGGGGAGGCGCTGAAGACATATGAGTTTCAAAAGCTGTTCCAAATCTTTCACATTCATGGTCTTTAAGCAGAGGCAGGCTTGGCAGAACTTTCTTTTTGGCACTGTAGAGAAACAATCTGTATTCAAAATATGCTCTTATGGCACATCTTCTGAGAATAAAACTTGAAATTTTGGCAAAGTAAAGCAGGAAACAACCTTTCCAAAGGGTATACTGAAGGTATAGTTTGTCCTTTGCTATCACAACTGAGGTATATAAGAATAACAAGTTTTGAGTAGGTTGCACACAACTCAAAAGACTGTGAGGGTTGGTATTTTCTTTTTACCTATGTCCTTTGCTTGTTGCATTTTGCAGTGTTTAATACTGCTATGTGATCCTGGCACATCGTAAGATCCTGGCACAGACAGTCCCACAGAACCCCATGGGTTGTTTGAACAAGCAAAGCCTTCCCATGTAAGACCTGCCCATGGAAGCAAAAACCAGTACCTCTGGATCCTCTTGCACCTTCCAGAAATTCTTGGCTCAGGAGAAAAAAAAAAGAAATCCTTCACTTGTTCATCTGCAAACGTACAGTACTAAAGCTTTGAAGCTTGACTTTAAGGATACAAATAATCCCACTATAGTACATACTTCACTAGGCTGGGCTCTACGCTTTCCTTCTCGCGTCACAGCACAACTCCCATAGTCTTAGTTTCAGATTTTCACATTATTAAGCATCTTCCCTTCTGCCTAATTACTCCTTTCAACTGGGAAGGGGGGGAGGGGAAACTCCATTCCCCTTGAGGTGACTAGAGTGAGCTCCATGACCATCTTGTCATATAGCCCAGGATTTACCTTCAATATTATTTTTTTATTTGTGGTGTCTAATGTAGGTTTAGCAGCTCATCTACTGTGACTGTTACATCTGTTAAAATGACACTTTATTTTTTGAAATTGCAGCAGGAGACCCACATATTCACTTCTCATTGAGAATTTTTTTGCTGCTGTTTTACTGAAATGCTGTGGGAGTGCACGCCAGGCATTCCTTGCTAGCGTGTTTGTCACTTTTCCATTTAATTTATTAGCACTGTAAATAACTGCAGACAAGGAATTTATCAATGTATATATAGGCTGCATTCTGGCGAGCTAGGAGCAACTACTCAGAACAACTAATGAAAGCAAGGTTCTGACTACTGCAAGTAAAAAATCATCTGCAGCAGCAGAAAGTCTATTTAATAATTCTGTTGCAAAACAGGGTGCAAATAGATTCAAACAGTACCTGGACAAAGCTAGGTATATCCCCTTAACCACTGCAACACACATACCTTAACATTCAGACTCCAAAATTCCTTAATTAATGGAGAGGAGGCAGCACCTTTGGAGAGTCCGAGTTGGGTATCAAAGACATGAATATCTGCAGCCACCTTCATCTATTCTGTGCTATCATGTGTCACCACTGCAGTGGTGACAGACCAAAAATGGTTTTCTGATGCTAGTAAACCTTGTTTGGCAGCTGTGCAATATTGGAACAGCTCCTGAAGCAGGTTTGGTGCCACAGATTGCTGAAGAAGTTACATCCCGTATTGCCCAGGCAGTAACACTGAGGTGCAGGACTTGAAGCAAGCTGGTGCTGAGTTGCACCACTGACACCAACATGGACAGAAACCAAGAAGTGTGAAGAAGCGAGGCCTAAATTCTGCTACAGTCTCTGGCCTGCCTTCCACAAACATGCCATTTGCCCTGTAAGGCAGCAAATGAGTGAGAGATCTCATCTTTCTCTAAACTTACATGAAAATTATACAGAAAATCACTAGAGTCCTGCTGTTCCTAATGACAATTCTGAAAGATGTATTATATCCCATGCTTTGGAGGTTAATCAATAGTTTAAATGAAGATTCTCAAAAGTATGAATGCTAATGCTGAAGTATAATGATGAAATACTTTTGAGCATCTATTTGGTATCTGACAAAGATTGAGATGAGACATTTAGGATACTGGAAGACACATTTTAGCCTCAATGGTAGTAAGATCTAGATAAGGAAGTTCCCTAGCATCATCTACTACTGCAGCTATATTAGGAAAGTATGATACATATGGTTATTTAAAAACCACTTGTATCCTTTACCATGGGAATGAGTGAGTTAAGAACTACCCAAAACATGGGAAGGGAGTAGGCAGGGAGAGAGAAACAGGTTTCTTGTGGATAGAATTGTTTGAAAGAGTAGAGAAAAACACTGCAGCTGTGGAAGAGCCAATAGTGCGTACAGTTTCCTTAGGGCCAAAATTGTCATTGTTTATGAAATGCAGTCGTTAACAGCACATGTGACTGTCTTTTACTGCACTCTTGAGCATTCACGCCCCAATTTAGGGGAGCAGTTCAGCACCTGCTTAACTTAGTGCCTTTGCAGGACATTCCTTGGAGCCAGTGGGTTATAAGCCACTTAAGGTAGTGGAGTATAAGCTCCATAAGTACATGTTCAAGGCTCTTCCTAGCTTAATGGGATCCTTAATCTGCTGCATCCCACTATATCAAAGAGTTAACATACGAGCTGGTATTTGTCATCTGTTGATATCATCTGTTTTGCAGGATCGTATTTATTTCCCCAGCGTCCAAAACACAAGGGATACTAATTACCTTATCAGTATAAAAAGCAGAGCATTAGTAAGTAGTCCCACTTACAGCGTATTAGCTCCCATATAACTTCCAATAGGTAATGATGATAGGACCTGCCAGTTTACAACAGCTCTTTATTTTACTCAGATTATAAAACATCACAGGGCTTTAGTTTAACAATGTTCACCTGTTTTAAATCATGAACTTCATTTTCTCCTTTATTATAAATACTAACAAATTAACTTTATTTTCCATCAGCAATACCATAAAAACTTAGTCTAACTGGACATATTTTTCAGTGTTTCCCCGATGCAAAAATTCTGAAGAATTTGAAGTATATCTCTATATTGTATATACACTTAGTTTTATATATGCTTATATCAAAACTCACCATTTCTGTTTATCACTCATTATAGTGATAGAGTTCACTTAATAAATTATGTCAACATTAGGAAAATATGAACAACCATTTCGTTATTTTGCTGCTATATTAGACATTTAATGATTAAACAGAGAATTGCAAAATTACATGAATGCAAAGGAAATTAATGTACACATTCATTTAAAATTTCCACATGGACTTTTCTTATTCCAAAACTTTTTCCACATTTTAGACATTCCTTCAATAGCTTCCAGCTGACTCTGTTTCTTTGAACACACACACACACAAAGTAGTTATGTGTGTGTATACGTATTATACATTGCACACTAAATGTAATCCTCTATAAGTATACATAACATTCACTGAATATACATATCATATGTAATATATATGGAGAGAGGGATGCCACAGGTGTGTTGTATGCATTTAGACACACATGTATACATATATACATATATGGGTGTGTGTGTGTGTGTGTGTGTGTGTGTGTGTGGCAAAGTCTTCCCTCCGATATGTATATGCAGCTCTTTTTGAGAACTGTGAGCCTCTCCCAAAACCACCCAGTTCCACAAACAACTCTGTCCCTCAGTCTGCTTAATTCCAAGGAGTTTTGGTTTACGCTTCGTGATCTCTAATCTGTGGTTTGAAATGGGCCCATCTTGTCACTGGGTTAATTTTTAAATTACCAAGTTAAACACAGTTGACACTATAATGTATTTGAACAAACAAACAAGAGCATTTTAAAATCAAAAATCATACAGGGCCTGATTCTTCTCTTGCTGACACCTGTTTTATCCAAGTGTGACGCCTCTGTCTGTAATGGACCAAGCCTTAATGGATTGCTGCACCGCAATGAAGAACCTGTGAAAAGTGCTTGCCTTGGCCTTATTGTGTAGACTGTAAGTAAGTAGGCTGAGCTGCATTGCATTTGGGTTTAGAATAGGCCTCTTATGAAATGATAAAAGATGGACAGTCACTTGAAATAATAGAATAAAGGATACATTCTTAAGTGAAAAGTGTGCACCATATAAGCTTTGGGTTATGTTTTAAAATTGTTAGATAAATATTTACTTACTGAATGTGTTTCTATTACTATGTACCTGATCAATCAGGACAGCTCTTATTAAAACATTTTAGATCAATACTCTACATATTAAAAATACTTAATAAAATTCTGAAACTAGTCACTGCTAAAAAGTAGATCTCAGGTCCTGCAAAGATCTTAAGCACCTGCTTAAAATAAGCATTTGGGTAGGTCCACTGATGGTATTCATGCTCAGTTAGTGCCAAAATATTTGCAGGATTAAGACCATTTATTATTCAAAGGTTATAATTTGGGAACTCACACCTGAGAACATGTAGTGTTTGCTACCATGAGTAATCCCCATTGAAGAGAATGTGATGTCCTGTGGTAATATCCAGAGCAGACTCTGAGGAAGGGAGAAACTGACTTTACTTATGCATGAAAAGTGAAGGTGGGACTAAGTCCTTAGACAGCAAAGAGCAATGACTATGGACAAATCT